TTTCTCTTCTCTTGTTTTAGGTGTTTGCTAAAGAATAATAAATCAGAAATGTATTTTTCAGTTTATCCTAAACCACCATTCTAACTCACCCTTTATGTCAAACTATGAGGAACAATTTCAACAATCAACAAGAATTAAACATCTAATCTTGGATATTTAGTTGCTGAATCTTAAAATACTGCTCAAAACTGCTGATCTTTGTAACTCGACTTTTTCTGGATTTAGTCTTCAGAATCAACCAATCCTGTGTTTTTTCTTTCCTGCTTCAGTATCAGTAATCTGTCTTATTTAACTACTTTTATATTGTCATTGCTATAAAACATGAATTTTTAATACAGAAAAATATAATAAAGATCACCCATAATACCATGACCTTGCACATAGCACTGTTAACCAGGTTACATATTTTTATTTCTGATTAATTTATAAACTGTATGGGTTTGTGATGAAGGTTTTAATCAGTCTGGCATACAAAATAAGTAAATTCAGAGCCTAAATAAATTGATGATGAAATTTGCTAAAGTAAAGATCTTCACAAGATAGGTGAAAAAAAATACCAAATGGAATGCAGATTATACTGTTATTCCTAACAACTGCGGCCTTTATATTTCCTTGGTATTTTTATGTGAATACTTTAAGTTTAGGGAAAGAGATGCCAAGCATAATAACATTTGTTTTAGTAACAGAATCATGTGCTTAGGATTGTGGGAAAAAATCATACAAAGACAACTGAAATATATACAGCTCTACTTCAGTTCTAAATTAGATATGAAAAGCAAAACTGGCTGTTTCTTATTAGAAAGCTGTCTACAATTCTTATGACATGTATAAAATATTTTTGATTTACATGAAGGTCATATTTTTAAAATTCTGCATAGCAAAGATAGAAAATACCTATCATATTTCCATTGAGTTCCATAAACTCAATCTAAAAGACTCCCTTATCTACAAATGGCTGACACCAGAAATACCCCTTCTCATCATTACTACTAGACATTTCCTTACCATTTCCTCTTTGCAACTACTTCAGATATCAGCACTGCCTGATACAACTACCTTCAATTCTCACTTAACTCCTACACAAACTGACAAAGGATCTCTAGGTGGTGACACAAGACAGGCAGTAAAATGCAGTAGAAAGGAGGGAAGAGGTAAAGAAAAAGAGTGCATTAAACCTACTCGCTAGTCTTTACCACTAGTCTATCCACTATCCTGTAACCCCAGACTGCTCATTACCATTAACAAGTATCATTTACACACATGGATTGGGAAGGGTGGAGAAAAGTTTTTGCACCACAGCAGAAAATTCTTATTTTCATTCTTATTCCTACTTCATTTTCAATTTCACTACAGAAATAATGGAAGGAAAAATTATATATTCAAGCCTACTCTCATTATTCAGTTCTCACATCCAGTGAATGTTTTGCTTTATTCTTTAATCTATCCCAATTTATTTTCTTTCTTGCAATCTCTCACATAACCTAAGCTCAGCTAATCATACCTATCCAATGGATTTCCCGATTCCCATCAATTTATATCCTTTTACCTAACACAAATTCTAGGGCTACTTTCCTGCTTCCCATTTCCCTCCCATTTTACCAGTATTTTGAATCACAATTAGGCTTGGAATTGAGAAGACTATTATTCCCATAAAACATACACAGTACTACTAAGAATAATGTATTATCCACAGTTTATGCAAGTTTGAGATTCAGTTCACTCATATGTAAAAGCAAGGGGTTAGTTTAGGTCACCACTCCAAAATCTGGCTGACAGATTTCTAGACCCCAATAATAGGGATTAGGAAAATATACATCTGAAGTTGTACACAGCAATTTTCTAAAAGGCACCCAGATGAGTCTATTGATGCTTAAGAATCACTGATAAATGCTAAGGCTCCTTCTTAGTCTAATATTCCAAGATCCTAAGCTGGAATTTTCACTGCATGTTCTGATAGGAATATTGCTATAAAAGGAGTATAGTTTTCAGTTATTGGTATTAGAGTTCATGTGTGTTACTCATTAACTAGCCTCTGTAACATGACCTAGCAACTAAGCACCATTTCTATTATTTTATAAGCACAGCTGACTTGCAAATGAACATATACAATATGTTTGTAGACGGGAGACCATCAACACTGTAGTGTTGTTATAACACTTAACACTAAAACCTCAAAGGAAAACACTAAAAATTACTTATCTGGAATTATGTTCCTCATCAGACTTTTTCACAGATTTTTGTCAAATCACAACTAAGTTTTGACCCACACGTCAAAAATAAAGGGAGAAAGGGCATGCTCACCAGGATCTTTTATTTTGCTTGTTCACTGATGGGGCTTTGTATACCACTGGAATAAAGCCTAGAGAAGTCTAAATCATTGATAAATTTAGGGCATCAAGGTATCTGAATAGTCTCATTCAAAAATTTAAGGATTGTCAGGTCTTTACCTGCCTCAAAGCACACCAGATCATTCACTAATGAATGACACCTATCCTAGTTCTGGTAACTTCCAACTACCAATTCTCATAGAGAAAGTGTTCCCTTAGTTAATATTGAAGCTTATAGATGTGTTTCAATATATGGGAACCTAGATGTGTTTCAATATATGGGAACCAAGCTAGTGTAAACAGCACTCGAGCCCTGGCTGGTATGGCTCAGTGGCTCTGTGAATCAAAAGGTTGCCAGTTGGATTTCCAGTCTAGGGCACATTCCTGGGTTGCAGGCCAGGTCCCCAGCAGGGGGTGTGCAAGAGGCAACCACACATTGATGTTTCTCTCCCTCTCTATCTCCCTCACAACCCCTCTTAAAAAATAAATTCTTTAAAAAATTTAAAAAATAAATAAACAGCACTTGAAAACATAACAAATTAGTAGTATATTAATTTAAGTAGATCTTATTCATTTATGAATAATGAATTATAAAAAGGCAAAAATGAAAACTGAATTATGTTAGTCATCTTCTTTTTAATTGTCGTTCAAGTAGTTTTCTGCTTTTCCCCCCCACCCCTCCCCTACCTCCTTCCCTGTTTCCACCTCACCTTGTTATTGTCCATGTGTCCTTTATAATTGTTCCGGTAAACCCTTCACCCTTTTCCCTCATTATCCCCTCCCTTCTCCCCTCTGGTCACTGTCAGCCTGTTCTCAATTTCAATGTCTTTGGTTATATTTTGCTTGTTTGTTTGTTTTGTTGATTAGGTTCCAGTTAAAGGTAAGATCATATGGTACTTGTCTTTCACCGCCTGGTTTATCTCACTCAGCATAATGCACTCCAGTTCCAACCATTTTTTTTTCTTTAAAAGATGTACTTCCTTAATTTGTACAAAATAGCATAATAAAAGGAAAGTGTGTCCATTTATTTCCTCATTTCTCCAAACACAAAAATCTGTAGTGAATTCCATTATGTAAGCATTCTCTGGATACCAAGAGTGATGCAATGGTTGCTAAGGTAACCACTCATTATATTGAATACATTGTGAGTTGGAGTGGAAAACATTCTTTAAAAAACAAATTTCAACATTTTAGCTATATCTGATAAATTTCTTTCTCTTGCTACCTACTAAACAATAACTGTAGGCCATCTTTGAGAATACTATTTACACAGCTATTTAAAAAGCTAGGCTTGATACTCTGGATGGTGTGGCTCAGTGTACTGAATACTGGCCTGCCAATCAAAAGGTCACTGGTTATAGATTCCTGGCCAGGGTGAATGTCTGGGTTTCCAGCCAGGTCCCCAGTTGGTGGGGCTTGTGGGAGGCAACAACTGATGGATTTATCTCTCACACACTGAAGTTTCTCTCCCTCTTTCTCCTTCTGTTCCCCTCTCTCTATAACTAAATAAATAAAATCTTTAAAAAAGTAAAAGCTAGGCTTGAGTTGCCAAGGAAAGAAAAAATTTAATTTAAAAAGTTTGAAAAATAAAACACATCAATGATATTCAAAGGAACAAAGACAGTATTAATCTTGTAGAGTAAGTGAAGTGTTTATAATCAAAAGCAATGTGATTTTACATGTCTTTTCCATCAACTATCATAATTTTGCTTCTAATCCTAAATTAAGACTAACACTAGAAGACTGCAGACTTTCCAGCCTGCAATTAAGCTAAATCCAGAGCAAGTAGAGTTATCCCTCATTTTGATCTTTAAAATTTCTCAAAAGCATTTTTAGAAAACTGGAAATTTTCAGTGTATTACTATAAGATAGCGCTACAAAAAAAAAAAAAAAGCCTGTATTTAAAAATGCGAACAGTAACTGCGGACTCCGACTAAAAACTCTTCATGCACAAGAAAAAGCTACTAAGCTACTTCGTCCTTTGCTTTTGATCCTCCATAAGAGGGTTCCTAGCGACCGCTGGCTTCTCCAAAGAATGTGTCCTCGGGATGTTTATTCAAAAGCTAAAGTGTATTTTAAGAACCTGCCCCAGATCTCTTCCTCCTCCGCCTAAATAAACACTAAGATCATACATATGAAAGAGGCACTAGTGGAGCCCCTCCCTCTTTTAATAGTCAGCTAAAAAGCCTGTGGACCAGGCACGGTCTAGCTAAATATGTAGGAATGAAGTGCTATGAAGGTGGTGTGACCCGGCAGCAAATCAAATGGGCTGGTCAAGCACGAGCGAGAGGCGACTAGGGCTCCCTTCAGGCCGTCTTTCTTAAATATATTTTACCTGACGTCGTCTTTTTACCTTCAAGTCTCTCCCAACGAGAAACCTCCACTTCCTCTAAGAGGACGTACGTGTTTGTGTGTGGTGACAATAATCTCAGCACCCAGGCTGGGGGCTGGGGATTGGAGGGGGTGGGTACTCAGTTCTTTCACAAGCCTGTAATTCTCCTGGAAGGGAGTCCCGGGTTGGGAGAGCAGAACTGGCCCGTACTGGCTGGCATGCAGCTCCTTCAGGCTGCAATGGTGACCCCTCGGCGGGAAGGTAGAGGTGATACCTGGATGGCAGCGACGATGCCTTCCCTCTTCTACCCCTCCTGCCCCCCAGCTCAGTTCACTGTTTACCTTCCCGGTACTTCTTGCGGAGCCGCCGGTGGACGCTCTTTACCACCCCGGACAGCTTCTCCTGCTCCAGCTTCCGCTCCTGATCCCGGGGCGAAGGAATGCTCGGGGATTCTGCCCCGTGTCCGTGAACACAGTTTCGGCCGCCAGCCCCAAACTCCATTTCGCCGCCCCTGCTGCCGCCGCCACACCTCGAGCCCTCGCCGAAGCTCGCCAGGTGAAAGAGGTGAGGCAACAAGGCTGCAGCAGAGGTAGGATCAGAGAGAGGCCAAACTACCGCCCAGCCCAGGCTGCGAGACCTCGGGGTAGTGGTGAGCGGGGAAGGCTGACCCAAACGCACAACGTGATTGGTGAACTAACGAAGGCTGGGCGGAAACGGAAAAGACCAAAGGCCAATACGGTGGCGTACTCAGTTCTTTGCGCAGGAGAGGCGGGGCTGGCAAGCCAAGAACAGTTTAGGAGGTGGGAGTAGTGAACCCCAAAGCTCCGCTCCTCTCCTCCGCCAACCACTCTCTGGATTTTGTGCGCAGGCGTTATGATAAGTCCAGAGAAAGGGGCTGTGCCGACGCGCTTGCGCATTTATTTTTGTCTGAGGTTGCTTGGTTTGGGCAGAGTTCTGACATCCAATTTTCTTCCAGCCAGCCCACCTCCTGTCAGTTCTATTCTGGTGTGACGAGGCTATCTGGCTTCTAAGCACTGATTTAATGAACGTCTGGCAATAGCTAATGTCTATAGTGCCAATGCTGTGTGAAAGAAATGGGTACAGGAAAGAGCCAAGAGAAGCAATACAAGATGAGGGGAGCAAGTGAAGGAAAGCTGGAGAACCAACAACAGGTGCTGTCAAGAACTTTTGTGGAGACGGGTATCACAGGAATCCTGACCTCCTTTAATAGGCATGCGAACTCTTGAGTACTGGTAATGTTGGCATGGGTGACCTCCACTGCCCTTTAGTTTGGTGGCTTGATCTATGTGAAGTGTGCCTAAGTGGGTTAGACAACCTGTTTCTTCCCCACTCCTACTCTCTCTTCTCTTGGGATGTTCATGGGGAATGCGGTTGCTGACTTCTATGCCAGAAAGGTGGAACACAGCTTTCCAAAGAGAAGTGTGAGACTCAGCATTAGTTCTTGAAGTGGTACTGAGGCTGCTGCAATGTCAGAGATTCAATGGCTAAAAGCCCTTAATGAATTGTGGTAGGTTGCAGTGTATTCCTGTACTACAGTTGTTTGTTACGCATGTGGGCACTGAAAAAGATAATACCAACTAAGAAGGCTCTCTGGTAGCTTAATGGGCTCAAATTTAAAAGCAAAACAAAAACAGTACTGCAACCATTTCTATGCAGGGGCCTCTCATGGAAAACTCACTTTAGGAGAAGCCTACATTGAACTACCTTCCTGCATTGCATTTCTGTTCTCCAAGCCAGCCCTAATAGAGGAGTTTCTGGAATCCTATTTCAACCTAAGGGACTGAGACATTCCCTATCCAACTGGACCAGTGCAACTATATACCCATCAGCATCTTCACTGACCAATCAGTTCCATTCTGACCAATCAAGGTAGTGCCTTTTGGACCAAACTGGGAGCATTTGTAGTCCTCTTTTGCATGAGGATGGACCAATCAGGGACCAGGGATGGGTATATCTATGTATATGTCAGCTTCCCTCTGCTTCAGGGAGGGTACTTTGTTTTACAAGCAAGACTGAAGATTGCATTTCCCCAGCTGGAGAGGAAACACTGGAGACATCTCATGAGAGTGGAGCAGAGCAGAACACACTGACAGAGAGATGAGCATGTTGGTGTAGAGCAGAACAGACCAGAACAGGTGTGCCACAGGTGGGCACAGGTAACCAGGTACTTGGTGATTGGAGACAAAGAATTGAACCAAACACAGAGAGGGTTTATAGCAGAAGGAGAGAGAGCAGATTTATTGCTCTCCAATAGTACACTCTACAGAACATGGGAGGAGGCCAACTCTGAGCAGGAACTGGCCTCAGAGGCTGGGGGGATTTTATTCTTATAGGATAGATATTTCCTGGCTAGTTTGGGTGGGGATTTATTTAGCATGTATGGGTAGTTATATTACTTTAAAGCTACTGTGCATGTGGTCTCCCATGATTTTCCTTGATTGGCCACCAGGGAAGGGGGTCCCACAATGTTAATTTATTATAATGCTATTATAATGAAGCAGCAGTCACGTAGCATCTTCTGTGCAGGTGCATTCATGATTCACCACGATTCAGCACTTTTCCAGGGAGCAGGAACCATCAGTCTTAGAACAGGATCTTTGTCTTAGCCCTGGAGCATCTCCAGAGTTTGTTACTCCTTCCTGCCCTTCAGGGATAGACTCCTGACCCAGGTGGAATGAACCACAATAGGGCAGAGTTGCTTAGATGAAGATGGGTCTCACCCCAAAGCCACCTCCAATCAGGACCATCTCACCCAGGCCCACCTTGCCCCAGGGCTGCCTCACAGTAGTACAGTTCCAAACTGGTTCATAATTCATCTGGAACATGATTGAGCTGTTCTACAACCATGTTGTTCTCATAGCCTACTATATCGCAGTTGAGCTGTTTGCATAAAATAAAATTTCTTTCTTTACTGTACCTCAAATTGGGGATTCCTGTTGGCATTGAATTGGCATTTAATTGAATGACCATTGGTTGACACATAACATTGTCTGGAAATTTTTACAATAACTTTTGAGTCAATAACTTTATAAATATAAATAAAGCTTGCATTATGTAACCTTTGTATGTCACCTTCTGATTAATAAAGACACTGAAGAAAAAAGCATTGTACACCAACTCCAGACAGGAGAGAGGAGGTGAAGGAAGAAGTTAAAAGTTGGAAGATGTGTCACAGTGAAGAAGCATGTCAAACAGAGATAAATTTAAAAAGAATTATAATTATGAAGATAAATTACACAAGTGTGCCTATTACATTTAGAATATATGGTCTTATTTGAGGAGATTTCATTTGGAAAAAAAGGGGAGTTTGAAAAGACAAACCTCTTTAGTTTCTTTTCATATTTTAGTATGGGAGACAAAAAGTGGTACAAATATTTAGAACTTAAATCATTGTAAAGAGAGCATTAATTTCATTTGTACTGAATTGTAATTTTAAAGAAATTACAAATTCTTTAAATTCTCACCCAAGCATATGTTTTTATTGATTCTCACCCAAGCATATGTTTTTATTAATTTTTAAGAGAGAGGAAGTGAGAGAGAGAAAGATTAGTTGCCTTTTGTAGGTGTCTCAAACTGGGTATCAGACCTTCAGCCTAGGCATGTGCCCTGATTGCTAATTGAACCTGCAGTCTTTTAGTACATGGGATGCTGCTGCCACCACCTGAGCCACCTGGCCATGGCTTAAATGCTTCGTTAAAAATAAAGATGTACACTTAAGGAAAATTAGAAAATGCATGAAGGAGTAAAGAGAATAAAAGTGCTAAGACTATAAATCTTAAATTGCACCTTAAAAAAAAAAGACAGTACCTAGTGTGAAGAAAGCTGATACTATACTGCTATTCACTTTGCAATTTATAAAAGTATACAATCAACATACTGTATACTTTAAACTTATACAATGTTATGTGTCAGTTATATCTCAACAAAGCCATAGAAAAGGTAAAAGTCACCTCAAAATTCATGAGTAAGATATAACAATTGTTATATTTTTCTTTGCTTATAAATACAGTATTTCAAATGGGATATTTCTTTATGGCTGTGTGGTAATCTATTATATGAATAACCCATCATTTTAGTAACTAATTCCCAGTCATTGTATATGCTGTTTCCAGTTTTCCTATGTACCAAATAATGCTGTAATGAGCAGCTTAATGCAAAAATTTATTCATTTCTTACACATTTTAATAAATTAAAATGTAATTTTAATTTTATAATTTACACAATTATAATAAATTACACAATTTAATAAATTAAATTACTAAAACAAAGTTTTAAATCAAAGTATCAAAAATGTAAAGAGTCCTGATGTATACTGTCAAATTACCTTTTCTGAAAAGTGGTAGGAGGTTATGTCACCTCTAGCAGTACATAGTAATGTCTATTTTACTCTGCCTGTACCAAATATGGTATTACAATTTAAAAATTCATTAATGAAAATTTTAAGGATCTCTATTTTTAGAAAATATGGGGATTTCCTGCTGTTTCTTAACTGGATATTTTGGTTGGCATACTATTTAATAGTAAATATTAATATTCTAAGAGCAAGTAAAAAACTTATTTAAGATTATCTAGTTGTCATTTTTAAAACACATTGAAGAGCTCCATATTTTAAATTTGTTTTTTATTTCACAATTTCTTGAGAAGCAACTCAAGAAATAGAAATTGCACAGCTGGTTTTTATTCTGAATTTGCATTAATTCAAATAGGACAAGAGCTGACATGTCCTGAGAAACACCAATATTATGTTTTCTTAGGTGGACTGTGGCAGTTGGCCATGGGCCACAGCATAAAAGAGTATTGATATTTATAACTTTCCTCCAGTGTCATTAGAAATATTGACAAAATTTTTCTGTCAAGTTAGCAGAAAAATGGTAATGGGATTATTCATTTAAGTAAAATTATTGTCATAATTGATGGTGAGAGGGACTCACTGCAGGAAGTAGATTTGGTACCACATTCAACAGCATATCCTATGCCCAAGAAAAGAACAGCCTCTTCCCCCTCCCCTAGATACACACGTTAGTGTGGTAACAGGATTTCATTTACTGTAAACATCTTTTCAAAAATCTCCTTATTATTTTAAATGTCTGTTGGGAATAGGAATTTTGGAATAAATCGTATTCACTGAGCAGGACAAAGCAGTCTGGGAGAAAGAAGCATTTCATTTTTTAGAGTTATATTTGTTTTATGGTATTAAGTTTGTCCCCGGTCTTGCCCCTTTGCTTCCTTCACCCAGCACCCATCACCTTCAGGCTACCCCCATCCATTGTCCATGTCCAGTGGTCATGCATATAGGTTCTTTGGCTAATCCCTTCACCATCTTTCATCCAGTCAGTCTCCCCTCCAACAACTGTCAATCTGTTCCATATATCTATGCCTCTGTTTCTATTTTGTTCATTAGTTTATTTTAGTTAATATTTATTAGATTACACATATAGGTGAGATCATATTCTATTTGTCTTTCATCGCTGGGCTTATTTCACTTAGCACATGTCTCGAAGTTCATCCATACTTTTGCAAAAGGTGAGAGTTCCTTCTTTTTAACTGCTGTTTCTCACATAAAAAGTGATGAATGTATCACTTTTTCTTTATCCACTCATCTACTGATGGGCACTTGGGCAGTTTCCAGACCTTGGCTAT